CAAAAACATCACTAAAAAAGAAAATTATAGACCAATATCCCTCAAGAACATAGAAGCAAAAAATCTCAGCAAAATCCTAGCCAACAGAATTCAGCTACATATTAAAAAAAATAATACATCATATCCAAGTGGGATTCATACTAGGGATGCAAAGATGGCTCAATATTAGAAAAATAATCAATATAATCCACCACATAAAAAGAATATGATCATATTGATTGATACAGAAAAGGCATTTGACAAAATAAACATCAATTCCTGATAAAAAACACTCAACAAAAAAGAATTGTTGTTGTTGTTATGTGCCGTGGAGTCGGAACCGACTCATAGCGACCCTGTACAGGGTTTCCGAGGGTGTAAATCTTTACGGGAGTAGAAAGCCTCATCTTTCTCCCGCGGAGCAGCTGGTAGTTTCGAACTGCTGACCTTGCGGTTCACAGCCCGAGTCGTAACCATTACGCTACCAGAGCTCCTTCAACAAAAAAAGAATAGAAGGGGATAAAAAAAACACTCAACATAACTAATGGCATATATACACATCCAACAGCCAAGTTACTCTCAATGGAGAGAAACTGAAAGCATTCTGTTTGCAAACAGGAACCAGACTTCTATTCAATATTGTGTTAGAAGTCTTAGCCAGAGCTATAAGGCAAGAAAAGTCAATTAAAGGCATCCCAACTGGCAAAGAAGTAAAACTCTATTTACAGATGATATGATTCTATACATAGAAAATCCCCAAAACTCAGCAAGATTATTAGAACTCATTGAAAGATTCAGCAAAGTTGTAAGGTAGAAGATCAATATTCAAAAATCAGTTGTATTCTTCTACACTAATAGAGACAACTCTGAAAAGGAAATCAGGAAATTAATACCATTTACAATAGCCACCCAACAAAAGACCTATACAAAGAAAACTACAAAACACAACTACAAGAAACCAAGAGACTTAAAAAAATGAAAGAATATATCATGTTCTTGGATAGGAAGACATTATGAAAATGTGAACACTATTCATAGCAATCTATAGATAGAACACAATCCCAATCCAGATTCCAACAGCTTTCTTTAAAAAGATGGAATTGATCACTTATTTTATATAGAAAGGAAAGAGACTTCGGATAAGCCAAGTATTTCTAAGAACAATATTGGAAACCTCTCACTTTCTGCTCTCAAAATCTACGACACAGTAACAGTGGTCAAAACAGTCTGGTACTAGTACAACCAAAGACACATTGAATTGGGAACCCAGAAGTAAATTTATCCACATCCAGTTAGATGATCTTTGGGTGAAAACACATTAAATCAGGAAGAGATAGTCTCTTCAACAAATTGTGCTGGAAAAACTGGAGATCCATTTGCAGAACAACTAAACAATATCCATATCTCACAACATATATAAAAACAAATTCAATGTGGATTAAAGACCTACATGTAAAACCACAACTATAAAGATCAATGAATAAACAGGGACAAATTTAGGGGCTCTAATACCTGGTGTGGCACTGTGGGTTAATGCGCGGGACTGCAAAGTTGGTTTGAACCACAGGTCCTTGTTAATGCTATACAGGGTCACTAGGAGCTGGAACCAACTTGACAACACTTAATATATGGCAAACATAACTAAAAACACACAAAAAGTAGAAGACAAAATAGATGGCACCACAAGAAAGCAGCAAACTAGTAGATGAGCTTTCTACAGTATAACTGGCTCATGCTCAATTGACAAGTGGTTATCACTGGAATAAAGGGGTAGGGAACATATGTAAGATTGTTCTAGACCTATGCTACTCAAAGAATATTTCATGGACCTACAGCAGCAACACTAAGATTCTTTGAAATGCAGCATCCCAGGTCTACCACCCCCCAACACACGCACACACTGAAGTAGATCTGCATTTTAACAAGATCCATGAGTATTACACACATGAAAGTCCAACAAGTACCAGTTTAGATAAAAGGCAGACTTAAAACATTACATGTTGTCCTTGATTGAATCCTGATGTGAACAAATCAGTTCTAAAAGTGACTTTGGGGGTGATTAGGAAATTTGATTCTGGACTGTTAGATTGAACAATTACAACTATTTTTCGGGCATGATAAAGGTATTGTGGCTATGTAGGAAAATGTCCCTGCATTTTTAGAAATGCACACACAAGTATTTAGGAGTATATGATGTAATAAACTGTTTAATTCGACTGAGGCCTTCCTGCGACAACAGTGCCTTAAGCATTTCTGACCTTGAGTTATATATAACGTTAACTTTCCTATTGAACCCCGTAACTGAATATGGTCTCTCAGTTCTGTGTGGTCATTGCAAGGAATTATCAAATTCAGCTGGCTAGATGGATAAGGAAGAAATGGTTGATATTCCAGTGCAGAGTAAAACGTCGTAATTTACTTGAAAATATTCAGCAAATTGCATTTTTTAAGGTAATGGATATGTGGATAGCTCTGGTAGTGTAGTGGTTATGAGTGGGGCTGCTAACGTCAGGGTCAGCATGCCAAACTACCAGCCATTCCTCAGGAGTAAAAAGAGGCTCTCTGCTCCTGGATTTACAGCCTCAGAAACCCTATGCAGGGTCACCGAGTCAGAACTGATTCAGCAGCACACCACCACCATACTCTTTACAGTATTTTAGCCATCAAAACTTACATCTTTTAACTTAAAACAAACTCAACTGAAACACATCAGTTGTAGAGGGTGTGGCACAAAAATTTCATCAGGATCAAATTCAAAGGCCTTAAGTTTCACACTAGTGTATACTTTTACTTGGTGGCAACACAGGAACCATACTAAGAAAAATTTCAGAGGCAGGCACATCTGTCAGGAACTCAGTGCAATGAAGATGGGCACTTAAACAGAAAAAGAAATGGAAAGAATTTGTGTGTAGTGAGTAGAATTGTAACAGAGAACAAGACTGATTCACCCTCATAGAGCTTACAAACAGCCACTTAGTGCCCCCTGGTGGCTAAGTTATTCCCTGCACTAGCTACATCAAGTCGCTTAGTTAAGTGCCTTGGAGTCTATTCCTACCCATAGCGACCTTGTATACGATTTTCAAGGAGCAGCTGGTGAGCTTGAACCAGACCTTGCAGTTCAAAGGACTTTGCAGCCTGAGAATGGGCCACACCAGGACTCAAGCCACTTAGGGTAGTTCATTCTCAGTAAAAACTTGAGTACCTTTATCCATTCTCTTGCAAATCAGTCTCTGCATGTGTCTCCAGATTAACAAGTACCATTCTAAAGATACATACCTCAAATGCTTAATTACATAGAGTAGTGCGATCAAATGCTAAAGTACGTGGTAGAATTCAGAATAGTCTAATTCAAGGATATAGAACAAAGCCATTTCTTCCACATCTCAATATTTCTGATAAAGACATTCAAGTCAGAAGTAATCATAAACAAAACATCATGGGAACAGAAGGAATGGTGAAGAAAACATGCAGGTTGAACATTTCCACAATGTACAGCTAGATTACAACTACTGTGCATAATGCATAATTAATGACATCTTGAACTAGGGAATTTTAATGTCATTCTGACAAGAAAATACATAATGGATTACCATGACCAAGTAACCAAAATCCTAGACTATTAAAACAATGAAAACCTGATGCAAAGTACTAATTAACAAAACATTAATAGAGTCCAAAATCAGTTAGCTGAACATGGTCAGTGCTCAATGCCATCAAAATACAACAAAAACCTCAATCCAAGAATTTAGTTGCTATAGTGGATATTCATATGCAGTTAGGTTTACTCAAGACCTAACACAAGACAAGTGCTATTAGGCCATTGTTATTTTTCCAGGTTTAATTTACCTCTCAAATGCCAATCAGGCCTCCATGTTATCTAGAAAATCCATCTCCTTAACTAAACATAATGTTCTTGCTAATTGTAATTTAACTCCGACTCCCTAATTCACAAATGGGAACTTCCCTTCCCTAAACATCAGTACTTTCTTTCACACAATAGAATTAACAGCTATCTGGCATTTAAGAGAGAACAGGTGGATAAATCCTTACACCCAAAGGCCAAACAATTTTTATTTTCAAAAACAACTTTATTCATGACACATTTTTTTAAAAAAAAAA